TAGAGAAACCCTGTCTCGAAAAAAAAAAAAAAAAAGAAAAGAAAAAGTAGATAAATAAAACTCTTCCCTGACCAGTTGTTTTTTCTCTGATGTTTTCAGCTCTGGATGGATCCCAGATGGACAAGGTCGATGGATAAAAGATGAAAATGTTGAATTTGACTCCGATGAGGAAGAGCCCCCTGACCTCCCCTTGGACTAATAACCGTCTCCCCATTTGTTCCACAAATAAACTACAGTGGGTCCTGGGAGCCTAATAATCCTCCAGTCAGGTTCCTTGTTCAATCTTAGGCTTTCAAATCTGTTCATCCTCAACTTGGCCACTCCTTTCCTGCAACGTACATGGCTCCCCATACTTCTGACCCCTCCCCCACTTGCCAAAAGCCTTGCCAAGCGTCAGCTGCGTTCAGCCTGGTGCCCTATTAATAAGTCTGTCAGAAAGAGGTCTCTGCCCTTCGTGTACTCTGACTCCTTCCCCACCTCCACTCTAGGTCCTTTCTCTTCAGATCACATGGGGACTGCCAATGGGCACTATGGGGGCTCTGGCCACCTCTCTCTGCAAAGAGGACCGAGGCCAAGTACCCTGCGGAGAGGCTAAAGCCTTTGGCAGATTTATGGGGAACACAAGGGACAGAGCCCACCCCCCCTCCTAGTAACCTGAACCTCCCTGCCTGCTGATCCCCAGAGTATAAATAATCCCTTGATGAACTGGCAGTACCCCTTGAGTGGTAGCGCCAAGATTCCCACCCCAACCCAAGGAAGGAGACAGGCGGCGTGAACAAAAGGGATTTTATTTACAGGAAATGGGAGAGATGAGGAGTTATATGTCCAGGCCTCTCATCTCTTGCTGGTATAAGGACAGGTGATGTTATCTCTTCTTTTGCTGTCGGCCTGTAAAGGAAGAATGGTGAACACAGCTCCATCTCTTATTTTGCCCAGGGCATGTTTCTCTTTCCCTTTCCTTGCTCGGATTTGTAAATTGCTCCCTCATGCCACCTGATGGGCCTGTCCCATGTTAACAACAAAATCAAGAATACATACTGGAAAATAAATGGACCATGTCTCTGGGAGGTACTGTCACGCCAAACTTCCATCCCATTTCTCTATAGATGTGTACAGGACGAAGAAAGACTTTGTATCTATTTCCTTCCCTGCTCATTCATCTCTGCATGAGTTTGCCAGCCACCCAAATATTTATCACTAAATCTGTTTTCAGGAATATCTACCAATCTCAGCATTTGCCTTCTCTACACAGGGGGTCTACAGTTACTTACGCAGCTCATTGTTCCGGGTCATGGCCTGGGCTGCCCGAGCTCGTGGTCCTTGTTGTGTAAAGTGGTACCCAAAGCGGACAATAGAGGGACACTGCTCTAGCACAGTGGCCATTTCCATCTCCACTGCGTCACCAGGCCACTGGCGCTGAGGATGGAGCGGTAAAAGCTATCAGATATGTATGGTTGTTCATCATCCCAGCCCATGGACCTCTGGGAAGTTAAGAGGCTTGTTTCTGGGGAGTAGGTAAAGAGAGTGCTACCCCCCCCCCCAAGACAATAAGCTGCCCAGGGAGGAATTCAGTGGCTGTTAGCTGATGAAGCCCTGGGGAAGGAATGCTGACCTGGTTGTCTACACGGAGCTCAGTGAGAGTGGCATTTTCCCGAACTGCCTTTAGCACAGCCATGAGCCCTGTGCTGCTGATGAAGTTGGATTCAATGTTCAAGCTCTGGAGACTACGGTTCTCACGCAACATGCCCGCCACCGCCTGGGAGGCAGGGACTTGGGTTAGGGTTAGGGGACAGTTTCATAGGTGACTGAGGAGCAGAATGGGAACAGGAGGGAAACAGCCCTTTGAGATTCCTATGAGGCAGGAGGAGTCAGGATTTGGGAGTTGGTAAAAGCACAGAGATTAAGGTTACTGGTGTTAGAAGGTTGTTGGGGTGGGGGTAGGGGGTGATAACTTTGGGACTTCAGAGTTGTGAGCCAGAGGAGTAAGGGTACAGATCTCTGAGGGCTGCCATAGAAATCATGATGGGAATAGCACCCCCTAGTGTGACCCATAAAGACAGCCCTCACCAGGGATGCATGACAGGGTATGGGAAGAGGACTAAAGCTGTCAGCCAGTGCCGGGCAGAGGCAGGCAGATCTCTGTGAGTTTGAGACCAGATAGAGCTAGTTCCAGGACAGTCTCCAAAGCCACAGAGAAACCCTTTCTTGAAAAACCAAAAAAAAAAAAAAAAAAAAAAAAAAGGATGCCAGCCAGCCTTACATTGGCGATGGGGTCACCACTCTTTGTGGCCACCAGACTGAAACTCCGGACATAGGTATTAGTCTTCATCGCTTCACATAAGTCACTTAGCACAGGTATCGGGATGTCCTAAGGGGGCACAGGATGATGGACTAAAGACTCATGCCTCAACAGTTATTCCTGTTACTATTTGGGAATGGGAGTCAAATACCTGTATATTGTTGAGGTTTACTTCCTCCAGCTCCTTGTCATTGTTCCGCACTCTCTTTAGCATCTCCTCAATGTTTGTGGGATTTGGGGGTTCATCTGGTACTGGCTTATATTTGTCAGGCTGTACCACACCTGATAGGGATAAGAGCAGAGAGAGAATCCCAACATATCCCCCATCCTATCTCCCCGCTGGCCTTCTAAGCCTCATGCTTCCCAGCACACTCACTGCTGATGCCCTCAGTGTTGCAGATTTCTCCACTGCAGATGGCATCGTAGTATTGCTTGTTGCTCATCAGCGTGTACATGCCCAGGATCGCTGGCGAAGACAAACAGAGGGACACAGGAGTTAAGGGGCCTCATGCCTGTCTCTCCTAAAGCAGTTTTACAGCCTGACCTTTCTTCCACTCTTGTGGAGTTTCTCACCCTCCCTCAGCTCTGGGAGTCTCTTCCATAAACCTGCCATGGTGGTTTCTAAAACATGAGAGGGCTCAGGGAAGGCCTTTGAGGAGCCACTAGAGGATGAGGATCATCTGCAGAGAAGATCCTCGGCTGGTTTTAGCCAGAACAGTTCCATTTTCATTTGCCTTCACGATATCTGTAAAGTTGCTCTTGATATTAACATATTAAGTTTAAAAAAAAAAGAGAATGAACCAGTGTACAAGCAAAAAATAAGAAAAGCTAAGAAACACTACCTTGGGAGCTGGGTGTTGGTGGCACACACCTTTAATCCCAGCACTCAGAAGGCAGAGGCAGGTGGATCTCTGTGAGTTCGAGGCCAGCCTGGTCTACAGAGCGAGTTCCAGGACAGACTAAAAAGCAATATAGAAAGGCCTTGTCTTGAAAACAAAACCACTGCCTTGGTGGCCGTATGTGCCTTTAATCCCTGCACTCTGGACCTTTGTGAGTTCAAGGCCAGCCATAGATGTTACAGAGAAACCCTGTCCCAAAACAACTCACTGCCTTAGGCTTTCTCGGCCATCTATGTCCTAGCTCAGGCCTTCTAGTCCTATGTCAAGATAAAGATGCCACAAGCCCCACCCTCCCACCTTCCTCAGCGTCCCACAGCCGCCCACCTGCAATGTCACACATCTCCGCATCTGTAGCGTGGGACAGTGCCTCCTCCAGCTCGGGCTCCAGCGTAATCTGTTCCTCTGCTGGAATTTCTCTCTTGGGCTGAATATAGGGTTTGCCTGATAAGAGAGACGAGGGCAGTTAGAGTAAAGGTAATTTATTCCAGGATGGCAGCCTCCACCTTCCTTTCCTTCTCTGTGTGGGGTCAGACTGGAGCCTGAATTGTCTACAAGCACAGGACTTGTCAGTCCTCTCCTCTCTCAGAAAAACTGGAGTACAGGCTGGTGAGGTGACATGTTGTCTGTAACCTCAGCATTTGGCAAGCTGAACTAGTAGGACCAATAGCTCAGGGCTAACCTGGGCTACACAATGAGATCCTACCTCAAAATTAAAAAATCGAAGCTGGGCGATGGTGGTGCATGCCTTTAATCCCAGCACTCAGGAGGCAGAGGCAGGCGGATCTCTGTGAGTTCAAGGTCAGCCTGGTCTACAGAGTGAGTTCCAGGACAGCCAAGGCTGTTACACAGAGAAATCCTGTCTCAAACAAACAAACAAACAAACAAATTTAAAAATAAAAAAAGTATCGATGAGAACTAGCATGCAGCTGTCTGGGACCTGAGCCCTGACAGAAAGCTGCCTGAAGTGGGGAGGGAAGCTAATGGGTAGGTGCAAGAGACAGCCATTTGGTTTGTGAAGGGCATAGGTGTTAGGGCACCCATACCCTTCTTCTCGCCAGTGAAGGGCACCAAGTCATCACGCTCCTTGACTTCTAGTGCCTGTTGCTCCAGGTACTGCAATAGGGCATCTCGGTCTAGTGGCCCCGTTGGGCTCTTCTTTGTCTGGTCACGTTGTCGCAGTCCAGCTGGCAGGAGCATATTCTTAGGGATGAGTTTTGGGGAACAAATCAGGCACTCTCGAGACATCTTTTCCTTGGCCCTTTTGTGATTCCAGGTCCTGTTGGTAGCTCTGTTCTTGGCCACCCAGTACCCACTATCTTTCCCACATGTGCAGGGATACCCTGCCCCCTGTGTTGGTACCCTACCTCAGGCCCTGGTCTCAGCCACCCAGCGTCCACTCCTTCCCACATATGTAGGGATGCCCCAGTTCCTGGGTGGGGGGTACCTCAGGGTCCATTTCTTGTAGCTCACAGTCCAGCTGTTCTAGCTCCTCGGGGCTCAAGGTCCTTAGGATTTCATCTTCATCTATGTCTCTGTATTTCTCCAGTTCCTTCTGATAGGATGACATGGTGGCCCCTACTCCCTCCCCACTCTGTGACACTCACAGCCTGGGGGTGGGGGATATGGGAAAAGTTGTTGGACACGGACACTGGAGACACAAGAAGTCTAGCCATGGTTAGAACCCTGAACCAGATACCTTAGAGGCCAGAGTCTACCGTGGGAGGAAAGATTAGACTGTTCACTGTTTCCCTCCCTGTTCCTGCACTTTCCAATCATTCTGGATGGGGATTCTAGGCTCCAGACTAGTGGATCTGTCTGCCCACTGTGTGATGAAGAAATCCTGGCAGCACCCTCCCCTACAGCTTTATCTGACAGTGTCTCTTGCCTTAACACAGCTGCTGGAGGCCCTGCCAGCACAGCTGGCTCCATGCCCAGTTCCTATTGAAAGGTGGAAGGGGGTGGCAGGGAGCTTCTCTTCTGCCTCTCTTCCCCATTACCCAGACCTTTTTTGAAACTGGATAAGCAAGGAAAATTGGCTGGTTTGGAGTAGTGGCCTCTTATGCCACCCTTGTTTCCTCCTTGATTGTAAAGGACCAAGATCTTTTTTTTTTTTTTTTTTTTTTTTTTTTTTTTTTTTTTTTTTGCTAAAACTCTAAATCATAAGGGAAAGTAAGGCTTAGAAGCTGGGGCACTTCCAGACTGGGGGAAGGGCAATATGGCCTCAGAAGGATCTCAGCTCCCATAATCTGTCACTAGAAAGGTGACACTAAAACACTGGGCAAAAATGCCTTCTAAATGGGGTCGTGGGATGATTAACTTGCACAATCTTTTACAGTGTGAAAATGCACTCAAGCTTTACAACACATCATGCTTAGTTTGTTAAGATGATCCCGAGAAGGAGAGACATTGACAACATAAACTGTACAGAGTCAAGACAGGGCAGTGGCAAGAACACACACGGAGTGACAGAGGCAGACACACCAGCTCACTTCTCCTAGGGCCACTCTTCCCATCTCCCCCCAGGGCCTCTTCCCTAAGACCCCTCTTTTCCCACCTTCCAGTCCTAATTGCCACCTCTCACCTCCCCTTGTCAGTTGGTCCGTCTGTTCTACTGGGGCACTGTCCGGTCAGCAGGAGGAGTCTGGTGCCGGGGGAGAGAGTGGGGGAACAGTGAGCTCAGCATTTTATTATTTTAGCTCTGGCCAGGTGGGGAGTGGTGGGAGATCACATATACACAGACCCCATACCTTGCCCGGCCCTGAGAGCCTCTAGTGGCCAGTATCAGCCATGACACATCTTTTCCTACAAGCAGAGTCCTTCAGGATAGAATCAGATGACTGCATGGTACCTGTTCCATTCAAAGCACTGAATGGAAGGAAGGCGTTAAGTCAGTGTAGCCAGGGATAGTGCTTCACCCCTGTATTCCTGCAACAGGGGAGGCTGAGGCAGGGCTGCTACAAGATGGAGAACAGCGTGAACCACACGGTGAGATCGAAGTCGACATGGGCTGCAGAGCAAACTTTTTTTTAAAAGGGGGTTAGAAGAGAGAGAGATGGCTCAAGCATTTATTTGCTGTGCGGTTGTGAAGAGTGGAATTGACATTCCAGCACCAGCATAACAAGCCTGTCATCTCACACATGCCTGTAACTTGCTCCTGTGGGTGGCAGAGACAGAAGGGTCACTGGGGAATTTCTGGCTTCTGAATTTCTGGCTTCTGATAACCGAGGAAGAATGACCCCTGGTTCAGGAAGAGACCCTGCCTCAAAGGAATGGGTGGGAATTACAGAAGATATTGGTTGGCCTCTGCATATGCACACCACCCCTGACACACGCATGTACACACACACACACACACACACTCTCTCTCTCTCTCTCTCTCTCTCTCTCTCTCTCTCTCTCTCTCAATGTAAGGATTTTGTTTTGGTATTTAACTTTAAAGAACAAACACTTTAGAATTACTTATGGATAGCCCAGGTAAGTATAATAAAAAATATATGCCAGCTTGAATAAAAGCATCTTTATGAAGCTTATTATTACTTTGTATAATAAATATATGCTGGGACAAAGCAGGAATAGTGATTTCACCTCTAGGCCTGGCACTTGGAAGGTTAAGGCTGAAGATTGATCCAAGGAGTCTGAAATTAGCGTGGACAATTTAGCAAGAACTAAAAATAAGAATAAGAAGCCGGGCGGTGGTGGCACACGCCTTTAATCCCAGCCCTTGGGAGGCAGAGGCAGGGGGGGCTCTGAGTTCGAGACCAGCCTGGTCTACAAGAGCTAGTTCCAGGACAGCCTCCAAAGCCACAGAGAAACCCTGTCTTAAAAAAAATGGGAAAAAAAAAAAAAAAGAGTAAGAGCCAGGCGGTGGTGGTGCAAGCCTTTAATCCCAGCACTCGATGGGCAGAGGCAGGCGGATCTCTGTGAGTTAGAGGCCAGACTGGTCTATAACATAAGTTCCAGGACAGCAAGAACTGTTTTACAGAGAAACACTGTCTCAACCTGCGCCCCCTCCACAACCAAGAAAAATAAGCTGGATAGCTCAGTGGTTAAGAGCATTGGCTGCTCTTCCTGAGGTCCTGAGTTCAATTCCCAGCACGTACATGGGCACGTGGTGTCTCACAAACCATCTGTAATGGGATCTGATGCCCAGAAAGACAGAACACTCATAAACATGAAATAAATAAATCACTCAAAAAAAAAAAAAAAAAAAGTCAGGTAGTAGTGGTGCATGCCTTTAATCCCAGCCCTTGGGAGGCAGGTGGATGTCTGTCAGTTTGAGGCTGGCCTACAGAACAGGACAGCCAGGACAGCCAGGGCTGTTACACAGAGAAATGCTGTGTTTGAAAGAAAAGGCCTCCGAAGGGAGTGGCACTATTAGGAAGTGTGGCCTTATTGGAGTAGGTATGGCCTTGGAGGAAGTGTGTCACTGTGGATACAGGCTTTGAGGTCTCACACATGCTCAAGCTTTGCTCAGTGTAATAATCAGACCACTTCCTGTTGCCTGCAAGATGTTGGACTCTCAGCTTCTTCTCCAGCACCATGTCTGCCTGTATGTAGCCATACCGCACCATGATAATGGACTGAACCTCTGAACTGTTAAGTAAGCCACCCTAACTAAATGTTTTCATTTGAAAGAGGTGCTATGGTCACGGTGTCATTTCACAGCAATAGAAACCCTAAGACACCCTGTCTCAAAAAAAAAAAAAAAAAAAAAAGGGGGGGGGGGGATGGCACATGCCTTAATGCCAGCACTTAGGAGGCAGAGGAAGGTGGATCTCTGTGAGTTTGAGGCCAGCCTGGCCTACAGAGGGAATTCCAAAACAGCTAGGGCTACTCAGAGGAACTCTGTCTCAAAAAACAAAAACAAACAACAACAAAAAGAGGAGGAAGAGGAGGAGGAGGAGGAGGAGGAGGAAGAGGAAGAGGAGGAAGAAGAGAGGAGGAGGAGCTGGAGAAATGGCTAAGTGGCAAAGTTAAGAACACTGGCTGCTCTTCTAGAGGACCCCAGCACCTGGCAACTACATGGCAGCTACAACTGTTTGTAACTTCATTCCAGGGGATTCAATCTCATGTTCCGGCCTCTGTGTATATCATATGTACATATGTGAATACTGTATTCACATACATGCAGACAAAACATCTATAGACAAAAACAAACAACAGCTCATATCATCAAGTGCTATCAAACAATAAAAAGGCCTAAGGACAGGTGTGACAGCCAAGACTACCTCTAGCATTTGGGAGGCAAAGGCAGGGAGATCTTAGCTGAGGCCAGCCTGGGCTATACAGACACCTCCATCTCAAAAGAGAGAAAAAGGGGAGGGAAGAAGGGAAAGAGTGAGAAAACAAGGTGAGAGGGTATCCCAGTAGTGAACCACATGTCCAGCATGAACAAGGCCATGCGTTCAATCCTAGCACAAACAAAATTAAACAACCCAAGTAGACAAATACACTCACATATTCATACCATACAAAAAGGATTTTACCATTTTATTAGATTAAAAAAAGAAAACAACATTCTAACAAAACCAGAATGAACTAGGAGAAGAAATGGTGAAAAAAAAAAAAAACCAACAAAGATCAGCGAGGACAAAGGGAAGAGGAGGAACTGAGAGCTAGGTCGGCAGAGGAAAGACGTTTCTATGGAGCAAGAATCTATTTAATGACAATTTTCTGACGCAAGGCTCGTGGTCCAGAGCCAGGGAGTGGCTCAGGGGGTGGGGGGCCAGGGCCTAAGGCTGAGGCAGCAGGGGGTAGTCCATGGGCAGTGATGTACTTCTTGTAGGCCTCACGAATGATCTTGAAGGCTCGAGCAGTGGCATAGGGTATGTCTGTAACAGGGTCCCGGTACAATGCTGGACGATGGGTCACTGGGCAGACCTCCCGAACAGGGACCTTTGGGGGTCGCCCTTGGGGAAACCACTCTTCAAATGTTGCATCATCACTGAATGTGATGAAGGTACGTGAGCAGTGAGCAGGAGGGACAGCAGGTCCAGAGCCAGCATGTGCAGTCAGTGCAGAAGCTGTAGGAGCAGGATCAAGTCTGAGGGCAAAAGACAGAAAAATTACAAAATGCCGAGGAGAAGGCAAGGAATCAGGCTGGGTGTGGTGTGGTACATGGCTGTATTGTCAGTACTTGAGAGGCTGAGGGAAGATGACTCCCCTGAGCTTCAAGCCACTGGAGAGACAGAGCAAGTACCTGTCTCAATAACAAAAAGCTGGGCAGGGAGCTGGAAAGACGACTCAGCATTTAAGAGTACCACCAGCTACTCTCCCAGAGGAAATTGGTTTCACTTCTAGCACCCAACAGCGGCTCACACCACCTGTCACTCCAGTTCCAAGAAATCTGTCTCCTTCTTCTGGCTTCAATGGGCACCAGGTCCGACATACGTACAGGTAAAATATTGATTTACATTTAAATAAAATAAAATAAAAATGCTGGGAGGTAGTAGAGCATGCCTTTATTGCCAGGTGGATCTCTGTGACTTCTAGGCCAGCCTGATTTACTGAGAGACTTCTAGGGCTGCACAGAGAAACCCTGTCTCAAAACAAACAAACAAACAAATCAACAAAACAAAAACAAGGCATGATGACTCACAATTGTTATCCCAGTACTAAGGAGGAAGATGCAGGTAGATCATGGGTTTGGGACTAGCCTGGGCTACACAGTGAGACTGTTCAAGAAAACAAAACAGGAAGGAATAAGCTGAGAGAAGGATGAGAAACGTCTGTAGGAGGAAGTAACCTCTAAGAGAAGCCAGGGAGACGGGGTTCACTCACCCTTCCACGTCCACATTCTCCTCCTTGGGACCAGGCTCCCCAACAAGTGGCACTGTCACTGAATGGTAGGTGATTACTGGCCCAGGGCATTTGCGCTTCTTGTGAACCTGCTTCTTTTTGTCAGCCTCCAGCCTTTCATAGGTCTCTGCAAGAGGATCAACAGGAGAACGAGGGAAGGATCAGTCTATCTTTTCCCACACGGTAGCTCTGGCCGGTGATCTATTAAATTACGTGTGTGTGTGTGTGTGTGTGTGTGTGTGTGTGTGTGTGTGTGTGTGTGTGTGTGTGTGTGTGTGTGTGTGTGCGCTCTCGAGTACATCTGCACACGCACATGTGCACATGCATGTAGAGGTCAGAAAACAACTTGCCAGAGTCAGTTCCCTGCTTATATTATATGAACTCCAGGGATCAAACTTGGGTCAACAGGGTTGTTGGCAAGTACCTTTACCTGCTGAGCTATCACAGATCTCACTAGGCCCTGTCCTATGATCTTAATTATTAATCTAATCACTGCTACTCTGGCCAGCTATAGAAGTCCTTCCTTTCTCAAATATAAGCAGGTCCTTACCCACTCAATACTGGAAGAGGCCTTGTGATAGGAACACACTGATTTCCATTTCTCCCAACCCCAAACGACCACCAACCTGCTCCTGGCTCAGACATAGTCTGTCCAGTTTTCAGATGAAATACAATTCCTGATGACAGTTTCCCTTTTTTATTTGAGGTGTGTTGGGGGTGGAGACATGGTGTCATTATGTAGCTCTGGCTGGCCTTGAATTCAGAGATCCATCCACCTGCCTCTTGCTCCCCAGAAAGTGCTGGGGTTAAAGACGTGCACCACCGCCACCCCACGAGCCGGAACTAGTAAGTGTGAACTTTCTAATCATTTTGCCTCCAATCTCCATTTGTCTGGTCCTCCAGGTTTCAGTTTTCCTCATGCACCTCACAGACTGACCCAGTGAACGTAAGTTGAGCTCTTCTGTGATCTTGGCCTCCCTGAGCAGCTCTTCCTGGGTTAGTGGTCGCTCACAGTGGGGACCCTTTCGCCTCCGGGACTGTCCTTGCCGTTCCTGAACGCGAAGGAATGTTTGTCGAGTATGCTCAGCTGTAGATTGACGCATAGACTTCCGACCTGCAGAAAGTAAGATGGGAAGAACTCTTTGAATTCATTTCTACTTTCTTTCTTCTTCTTTTTTTTTAA